GTTAACACCACGGATTACAACCGATTACCACCGGCCTACGGCTACCGGCCGGGAAATGTGACCTAGGCATTAGGTATTGCACGGCGCGGCGAACGAGAATTGAACCCGGGCTTCCCGATCACGAACCGAATGATCGGTAACAGAATTGAGAAAGTTGAGACGAATTTTTTCATTTCTACAGTTTTTAGTGTCTTGTAACACAAACATTTCGTATAGACCTGTCTATATTTTTCATTGAAAAATGTAACTTTTTTCAAGACATAGGATTAGGTATTAAGACTTTTGAACTGCATGGCCATTCAGTTAAAAGATCATATGATAATAATTAATTATATAACCATCCTAAATTGGAAAGTTCTTTGAGAATACTATCTGAATATTTCCTTAAAAACGGTCTTCTGTAAAATAATTTTTTTAACAACAGAAACTATAAAGCATATACCGATATTGCATTTCATAATAAAATAAGTAGATATATATTCTTAAATTACAATATTATTCAAATGAAACGTTTGGGATAATGAACAGTATTTAAACTCAAAACCATAAAACAATACAAAATAGCAAGACAGCAAACACGGGCCTTCAAAACATCAGAGGTAGGATCTGGTGTCATGGAGGAGTGAACATCTCCTTCCGACCAGTCACATTCACCGTGTGCCCTTTAGCATGATCTGGAAATAACGAAAATAACAACTGAGTTTGTAAATAATGGCCTAATAATTATTTTGAAAAATGTCAGTTAGCATTTGACTCTATGATAAATTGTATTTGCTTACAAGGTCATTGTATCATAGAACTTTAAAATGACCAAATTAATCAAAGTACTTTACATTCCCCTTCCTTTTGTAATGAAAAAGGAACACTAATGCTCTTTCATACTTCAGGAGAATATTCGACAAGGTCCTAAAGACATCAACATTTTTTATTATAAGATTGAATAATTTCTATCTGTATGTTAAGCTGGGATCCGACAATTTAGAAAATACTACGATATAATTACCTGCACGTGACCTTGAAGATAAAAATAAACATATTTTCTCCAACGTCTAAAAATTGGTCGGGAAATTTAAACAATTAGTTTTGGAAATCTATTCCAGTTCCTTCCTAATTCCAATCAGATTAAATAAATAAGTGGATATAATTTGGGCTCGGGGTGCTCTGTAGCTCTCCAGTTTAAACAGTTTTAACGTCAAGTTTTATTTTTGATTTACACTAAAAATAGAGAAAAGTAAATCCTCCACTGAAGGACTTCAATCCTCCTACCCCAACCCTTTCAAACCCATGAATTAAAATTTGAAGTTAAATAATCATTCTTTGTGGGGGATATTGTAATATTTTTTCAGCTCTCAATTTCTTTCCTTTTCACGCCCTCAATTTTAAAATCTAGTCTATAAAAGAGCTTGATATTATTCCTTTTAATAGACATTTTCAGATTTCGCGATCTCGAGACCGTACTCGCGCACTGACTCTGACAGTTGTTTCAAATTTTTAGGGGCCGTGTCAAAATTTAATTTATTTACAAAAAAACAAAAACACTGTTTCCTAGATAAAACAACATAATAAGCTGCATTTAAAGCCATATATGGCGTATTCTCATAAGTTCAGACTAACTCGAATTAAAATGATCTGTTTTGTTACTTTATATAAAGATAGGACTTTCCTGTAAATAGCACAATTTAAATCAATCGTGTTACATAGAAATCCAAGATTTAAAACAATTACCGATTTATGTCCAACTCGGATAAAAATATCATAGCAAACACAGTTTAAAGTCAATTTAACCTACATGTATAGAAATATGGGGATGACATTTGGGTTCAAAATCGGTGGTTTCATTTTGAATTTAGATAGCAAATATTATCCTAAGCTTTGTTTAATCTCGTGATTTACTTTTTTAGTTCAGATACGCCATACTTAAAATAAAGCTTTATAACCCTTTCAAAACACTTTTTATACGGCACCTTATATATCGAAGTACAGAGTACGAGTCCTAGCTCGTGGCGCTCTTGGCTGAAAATGTATAATAGTCTGGTCCGATTTATAGGTGAACTAGAAAAAAAAACTTCTAACGGCAAATAATAATTATTTGGTCTAGCATAGTTTAAAAACCTATTCCGAGTATGCTTAGTCCGAAAAAATATGCTGGATTTCATGAAAATTGCGTTAAATAGGTCAAAATGGCTATTCAAAATGGCGGACATCCAATTTTTGTAATTTTCTCTTAATGTCATTCAGTGACACATCGATCAAAGAAAAAAATATTACATTCATTTCTTATCATTTAATTATGATTTTAAATTAATAAAATGAAAGTTTCTTTCACTTTTCTATTAAATTTATGCATCAAAAACAGTATGCACGAATACATCACCATAACGTTAACGTTGCTGAAAATTCAAAATGGCTCTAACCATGCTAACGAAAAACGTTCACAAATATTGTCGTGTGATTACCAACAGTCTCCAAAAATAATTTACAGTTCTTTAACACAAAAAACTTACCTGTTGTGTTATCCCTCTGGGTATATTTTCCCCGGTAAGTTATCTAAGTTCGTAAATGTAAAGGTAAGCTACTCAAATATCCTAAAAGTTCTAACGTTAGGTCACCGAAATTTTGGATTTCATTTGCGCATCTTTTCATTTGAATTTCAAACCGAATATATAAATACGTATCACAACCTGTCAGTGCTGTAAAACCCGAAAGAGTCTGTTGCCGATATATAGTTCAAGATTAAAGAATTCCATCCTCAATTCATGCAGTGTCGTTTTTCTCGATCACTCGTTTCCCACGATTAAACAGATTTTCGGTTTTCCCCGCTTTGGTAGCATAATAAAACATTTTTTTCAGAGTTATATTGTTTCATACCAGATATCTCAAAGTCAAACATTTTAGAAAAGTATGCCGATTAAACGATTTCTTCCCTTCTTTCCCAAAACTGTATTGTCGTTATGCAGACGATTTTAATTTGTTTAGCAAAGGGGGATAATTCAAAATGAAACGAAAGTAGAAAGTAAGACAGGAACCTAACGGACAGGTTCCGAAATTCAGGAAAATATCTATTAAAGCAAAGGTATTTAATTATTCCTTCAAAAAGTAACTTGGAAGCGGGGAATATACATGTACCGACTGTCAAAGTAGTTCCGGCTGCTTAGTGCAACCAAACTCTAGATTTTATTGATGCAGTTATCAAAAGAATTTTTTATCCAATCAGAATCAAGTATTTTATAGAAATTAAATGATAAAAGAATGCTAACATTATTACTTTAGCTAAGAAGATTTAGTCGTTTCTAAATTCAATTCGAATTTTCTCTGATTTATTTATGTAGAAACGATTAAATTCTCTGAGTGATCGGATGTCCACCATTTTGAATCGTCATTTTGACCTATTTAACGCCATTTGCATGAAAGCCAGCATATTTTTTCGGATTTAGCATACTCGAAATAGATTTAAAAACTATGCTAGACCAAATAATAATTATTTGCTTTTAGAAGTTATTTCTAGACTTTTTAAAAATCAAGATCAGACTATAATTTATAACATAAAAAATCCAAATTAATACAACTGGTAATTTATTTATTCCTGCTTCGCTAATTGAATAAGCCAAGACTTTGGCGAAAATAAACAAGCAAGACAGCATAAACTGCATGTCGAATTAATTATTAAATCATATAAAAAAAATTATAGCCTTTTTAAAGTCAATACGTTGATTAAGCCACCTTCGTAAAATATTCAGCCTCGGTTTTCATTCGGTTTTTGGCCTCGGTTATTAATATTGTACTCCTCAGATTGTTTAATCATGGTATTGGCCTAAAACGGCATTAATTGTACATGTATATTACTGTTTTAAACTGTTTTACCAGACGCCCGAATAATCGTCAGCAAAAAGGATATGAAAACGCAGTTGGCGGATGCAGAAAATGGGGAATATTGCATATGCTTGTAAAAATTTAAGAAGTATAGATTTTACACTTCTTGTCATACCTTCCTAAGGAGAACATTTTTCAAGTCATAAGTCAATGTTTTAAGATCCCAAGGAATCAACATGATTTTGAACTTCCATATACAGGTGTACATGTATATATTGGATACCGAAACGTCATAAGAATCCTTACAAAGATATATAAAGCGAGTTCCAGTGAATTCCAGTTAATGTTAATGTTCAACCAAGCCTCTTCCTTTATTCCTCACTAGGATATCAATCGCAGTGAAGAAGAAGATTTTACCAAAATGAACAGCTTAAAAACTTAGGACCTTTAAGTCCAGGGGCCCGTTTCATCAAAGGTCGTACGCCCAGTCGTAGCGCTACGCCGGCGTAAAGTCGGGACTAGCAGCGAGATTTGCGTTTCATTAAAGAGCATATCTTTACACCCGACTAAAGTTAGGCCTAAATTTTACGTCTGCTCATGGGTAGGCGTAAGTTCAGGTGTAAACATAAAATATGGCGACAGTGTTATTAGTTAGAAAACGAAATCGTCCTTCCATAAGGAGAGAGAGGGTTTTCCGGGATCGCAGTAACGTTTTAGAAACTTTATGTGATGTAGACCTAATTGAGAGATATAGGTTTCCTCGACACGTCATCGTTAACATTGTCAACAATGTTGAACCTATTGTTGGTAGAAAAACAAGAAAAACACATGCTATACCAACGTATACGCAGGTAAATTGTATGACTCTACACTTCAATTTCAAATACATGTACCAGTAAAATACAATATACACTTAATAAAAAATCTTTTCCTGCAAATACAAATTTATATATCTGCATCTATATTATTTGAAAATATAAGGACGTTTGTTTGTTTATTGAATAAAAAGTATTGTTGACATATAAGTCATGTTATAAAGATGTTCGCATCTTTAATAAAATAATTAAACTTTTTAATCCTTCTTTAAATGATTATTAAAACAGAAATAAATATATGCAATAAAATGTCTTTCTTTGTTTGTTATTACTGGAATTAATTCCAGTAATAACAAATAAAGAAAGCATTTTATTGCTTAAATAATTCATAGTTCTAAATATGTACATACATGTGTTATGAAACAATTATGCAGTAGCCTATATTTATATGCAGGTGCTTGTTACGCTCAGATATCTGTCGAAAGGAAATTTCTTCTCCGAGTTGGGAGATCTACATGGAATTTCCCGATCGTCAGTCAGTCGCATTATTCATAATGGTAAATTTTGTTTTCATAAATGATATTCACTCTGTTGAGTTTTGCTTTAGCGTTGAAGATTTATTTATGAGACATAGGCGTCGGAACCGGGCGGGGGTAGCCCCCTCCTCCACTTTTTTGCAAAGATACTGTAGACGTAATACAGGCTTTCAATATTGGAGTTTACCTTTTTCTACTTTAAACATATTATATTGAATAATTCAATAAGGATTGGGCAACAGGCAAGGCCTCTGTACATCCTCTCCTTTTTCTCTTGGTTTAGCACCCCCCCCCCCCACTTTCAATTAGCCACTCCACTTTCAATATGCTTCCTACGCCTATGTGTGAGAGAAAGTTTAATTGACAAAAAATTAAAGAAATTGATAAACTGAGGTCTGTTTATTTCTTATCAAAACTTATGAGAGTTAAACAATGATGTTTAACTGGCTAAAATATATGTAGTAACAAAAAACAACAATATTTTCAGTTTGTATGGCTATTAATAGAACGATGAATAACATCTCATTCCCGAGGGATGCACCAACACTCCGGTGTATAAAGACGGACTTCTTCAACATAGCACACTTTCCAAATTGTGTTGGTGCTGTTGATGGGACACTTATTCCAATAAAAGGCATGGGTGGGCCAGAGGAAGCCGCATACGTCTGTAGGAAGAACTATTATGCCCTGAACGTCCAGACTACCGTTGACTCAAAAATGAGGTTATTTTGAATTTTAATAAAATATATATATATATATGAATTGATTGATGTTTAAAAAACCAATACCTGCAGGGATTCGTTCATGTCCTACTAATTATAGGTTTTTAAAACCAACACATGTTTTAAAAGTGTCTTATCCAATTTCATTATACATGCATAATATACAAAGAAAAAAAACGTGCCAGGCGCGGGTCTAGAAATTTTTCAAAGGGGTTGGGGGAGGGATTGAAGAGGAAATCAGCTTTAACGTATGTTTTGCATAATACATGTACTTAAATAACTCAGTAGGATGCAACTAGGGTGGAATTTGGTTTTAAAAGTGGGAGGTTTATCAACCTAGGAAAAATACTTTTATGGATTCTTACCTGAAAGTTTTTGAAAAGGAAAGGAAAATAAATCTTTGAACCCAAAAATCCTATTTAGAAAAGGGGATAGGGATTCATTTTGTTCTCATAACCGAATTTCTTTAGAAATTAAAACATTAGCCTTTCACTGAAAATTTTCAACAGTAAAACACACAAAAAAAAAAATAATCTTCTTTATCTTTTTTGCAAATCCAAAGGGGGGGGGGGGGTGCAACCCCCGAAATCCTCCTCTCTGGATCTGCCAATGAGTGTTGTTATCACCATTGCACACTCATATATTGAAATATATATATATGTATATGACTTCTGTTTTTCAGTAAATTCTTATTACTTTTTAAAAAAAAGATTTATCCATGTCAACGCTTGCTTCCCTGGGCCACTCATGATACCTATGTGATGAGCAATTATGGTAGCATTGCCAGAGCGAGGATGGTTAATTGGGGACTCGGGCTACCCCCTTAAAGAATGGTTGCTCACGCCATTTCTGTCTCCAAGTAACCAGCAAGAGGAGAAGTATAATGACGCGCTGACGAAGACAAGAATCGTGGTAGAGAGAGCATTTGGTGTTCTTAAATCCAGATTTCGGTACTAATTTCTTTTTTCTCATCTGCATAATTTATAGTTTTCTTATTACAGTTTGCAGAACAATGTGCAGTGCATTTTGAAACGACATGATATTTAGACATATATAGACTTGCATTCGCACAAGCAGGCCTATTTCATTTTTTTCAAGACATGGTCAAACCGATAATACAATCATTATTTAACAGAACATATTTAAACAGTATTAATCAATTTACAGGTGTTTGCATGCGAGTGGTGCACTCTCTTGTTTTCACCCAGTAAATGTTCTCAAATTATTGAAACATGCTGTCGACTGCACAACACAGCAATTAATGCTAATGTGCCACTTAGACACCAAGGAACTGTTTAAAACATGAACCACAACGACATCTACAATGGACATTTGCAGGGAACAGCTCAACAAATTTGGCGCCAAGTAGCGGCTGTTTTGTGAAAAGGGAAAAAATCGTGATTCTTAAATTTAATATGTCGGTGACCTAATAATATACATTTATTGAATAAGTTTGAGGGCAACATGCGTTTTGTTGGACCCAAGAACAAAACTGCCTGCCTGAGGCTGTTAGGCCTCAGGCAGACAGTTTGTTTCGAGGGTCGACAAAACGCATTTTGCCCGAGAACTCAGTCAATAAATGTTTTGTTATACTTTTATTTCATTTTTTTGGACATATATTTATTTTGTACTGTCTTTCATGATGTAACCTCAGGTTCTTTATTGCTGAACACTAACGAATGAAAAGGAGATTAAGCTCCGCCCATTCTGTGACGTAAGCGGTCCAACATCGATTTTTTTGTCCGCTCAGCAAAACATTAGAAATGTTAAACTTTTTTCCGTATAGATTTGTATAGGAACAAATTTCTAAAGGTATAACAATGTAAATTTAATATAAGTAAGATACAATATACATGTACATATTGGGTCTCATTTACAACAAAGGTCTCATTTGCTACATAATCTTAGAAAAAATAAAGAAACCATGAAGCCTTTAAGTTATTTCCTACTCCTTTGATGACCTACATGTAGGAGGAATTCTTGCCTCTAGCGCTACTGCGACGCGCTCAAGGGCGGCTGCCTTTCGTTCCTCAATCTTTAGTCTTTTTTCTTCAATACTGACCCTCATTCTTTTAATATTAACAAGTTCAACCATAGTCGCATCCGATGCGTTGATATCCTCTTTCCCTTTAAATATATATATTATAATATACATTTTTTACTTTAAATCGTGTTCATGTAGGTAAATAAAATTGTTCATACAGTATTTGTATTTCATACCTTTCTTTCCAATTCCAGCCCGTTTCTTGATTGGTGCAGTGGGCTCTTGTCCTAGGTTTGGATCCTCCCGTACATTTACTTGCATGTTACTATTACATGTATTACCTTCCGCAAGGACTCGACTTCTTTGACTGAAAATACAATATTTTAACGGCATTATAAACTATGTGTGCCTTATAAGTTATTATATTTATGATTAACATGACTGAAATATCCCGGGAAGAAAACTGTTATTTAACTAATATTTTTTTCTTTTAAAATTATCAACCTATATGTAATTGCTTTCTTAGAAAGTCCTATTCTAAGACCAAGGATACATGTATTTTATTTAGACATTTATTTGTCCTACCTATAAACGATGACGATTGTGCACCCATACTAGGAGAGTCCTCCGAAGTTGAGAGAGATGCTTCATTTACTTCAAAAGCAAGTCCTTTATCAATGTTATTAAAGCCCGAGATAACAAGCACCGCCTTCAGATTTACCTGGTCTGGATTCCCCCGTCAATCAAATAAATTAAGGTCCATCATTGGGTACTTGAAAATGATTGACATTTAGCTGCTAGTCCCTGTGTATATCTTTTTCACCTTGTTTGACACGCGTGGCCACCATCAAATTAACTTTTGGTCTTTTAATGTTTACCGCTAAATTGCCATCCCAATGAGGGGTCATTTCGATGCAAACAATTTTAGCTTGATTATAATTGATTATAATTATCTGTATTACAAACATTGAAAAATGAAAATGTTCTCAAAGTGTTTCAATAAAATAAATCAAGATCGTGTAATTTTTTTTAATGAAAAGTGCATAGGTGGCTGTAATTTTGTTTTTACTCGTAAAAAGATTCTTGGTTTGAGACGCAGCGAAAAAATTACAATGAAAATAAAGGAAAAAATAACCTGGTAACATTTTTTGCTTGAAATGGATAGTAAGGTTGAAAATAAAATGTCTGATTAGTAACAACTTCGCCTGGACAAGTATTACAGTATTTAGAGTTTTTTCTTTTCCTTTTCCCTTTTTATAACCGAGCATTTCTTGCTACGTGCTTTCTTACCTCCGTTCAAGGTCACATGTGTTAAAAATAGTTTTAAAAGAAATACAGAAGTTAGCAATAAATCAAGATTTTGTTGTAAGTTTTTAAATTATAATCTGAATTTACTTATCGATAAAATACACACATTTGTATGTAATTTTAACTTAACGAAACAGTCGTTATGGCGAATTTTTCACAAGATACAGAATGTACATTTGCTAAAAATAGGACCACGCGACTTTTTATACAATTTCTATTTGACCGTGATTGAAGATCTAATTGCTACGATATTTACGATAATTATGAATAGTTTTTAAGATTTTGAAAGGGACAGGCAAGGATAATTGTTTTACTGTTGAATTTATACCTGTATTTCATTATATTTCTTTTAACAACGAACTCAAGTCATTGCTGCTGTGACAAACAATATGAGGTACATACCGTAGATTTTTTTTTTTTTTTTTTTTAACAAATGTCGACCGGTGAGATTTCTGCTTGTTTTAATATTTATTATGTCAGAAATTATGGAATTCTACAATGATCATTTATTATTACTAATGATATCTTTTATTCACGATGTCGAGATCTACTAATTTTACATGTATGATAAACAGTAGGCCAGCAAGCTGTACAGGTAATACTCATTGACTTCCTGTGTATACTGTTTGTGTATAGGGATTAGCGCTTCCCACGGTCTGCACGACCATCAATGCCTCGGGGTACCACGCTTGTAAAATTTAGTCCCTCCCCTTACCTGAGAAAACCGTACGGTTAAAAATCTTGGCCTTTAAATTTATTAATAAAAAAAATGTAAATAATAAAAACGTTAATTAAAAGTATTTAGGAAAGATTCAAACAGATATTCAATATTATTAAAATATTTTAAAATCCATATATATTATGGACACAGACTGCAGTGTACCTGTTCCTGGAGCTCTTCCAGTGTCAGTTCCACCTTCTATTCCTTCTATTAACTCCCCAGGAATCATTGATAATACCTATTAATAATTATAGCAAATAATTTTTTTCAAAGAATTATATGCGGTATATTGCATATACTTGCCCCCACAAAAGTCAAATTTTGAAAACTTCCTGAAATGTGCTGAATTCAATAAACTGTATGAGAAATATAAATTAACAGAACATATTATAGTTTCAAAGCAGTTTATTCACAATTTTTGTTTTTATGACGTCACAAAATTGTCCGATTTTATATCCTTTTTCAGAAATAATACTAAATGGACAAAATTTCAACAATTTTAGCTTTAAAATTTATAGAGCGCATGTTTGTTCAGGAACAATATTTACCTATTTCATTGATATTATCATTCTACACATTATATCACAATATTGATCCTGAACACACATGCGCTCGGTGACTTTTACTCAAAATATCAACGAAATATGTACATTTTTCTGTAGAATTCATAAAAAACTGAATTTTACGTCATGTTTGTGACGTCATTACGTACATATGACGTCATTACTTATAAAATTATTTAGTGCTTTGAAGTCAGCATATACTCCCCTGTTTAAGAACTTAATTACATATACCTCCATCAAAGTTTGATTTGGGGGGCAAATATTGGTTATTACCGAATAAAGTTCTTTTATATGTGACGCGCCAAGCAAAAACCTCCCTTATCTTCATTATGACGTAACGTCAAAAGACGCGTCTAAAGTCAATAAGGTAAAAGCGACGTAAAAACGCCTCCTCGAGAAAAAACTCTCCCCTGCAGAACAATGGGATGTTGTTTTATTTACATGCTGAGAAAGATTCTTGGGTGTGGTTTGATGTAGTTTATTCTTTAAGAAGTTATTCTCCGTCAAGTATCTCTGTGACATATCCTTTTCACAATTATTAAGAGTATATTTTTTCAAAATGTCCAGTGATGGTTCAAAAATTCCCGTAAGGCCGTTTTTAAAATGTAGTTTGTTTGCCGTCTTTCTATTCACTTAAAAAAATTGCGTCGCTAGGTAGGTCGAATTTTTTTGTCGGAAATGTTCAATATTGAATGAAGGAGTTTCTGAAATAAAAAAAAATAGTTGTTGATTGGATGAGAAAATTCCGGAATGAATAATTTGATGGTTTTAAAAAAGATTTTATTCGGTTCATCTTGAAATGTCAAACAAACAAGTTTTTAAAGATTTTTAAATTCAAGCTGCTAATTTCCAGCTGTTTTATCGTGATGCACATGCAAGAAAAATTAAACAGGAGCATTAAACTAGGTAAGGTATCTTTTCTAAAATAGCGATGCAGTGAAAATTGACCTGAATTACCTCTCTTAGCTACCAAATTTATAACGCTGTGGTTTAAAGTCGTCCAAAATTTGTACAATATTGAAATGTTACGTCAGGCGGATCAATGTGTTTTTATGCAAGTGATCGTGACATAGATAACCCAATTTTTTATGCAATAAAAAGTTATTTCTTTATCCAATCAAATGCCACGTTATAACCATAATTAAATTAAAGAAGTACATGTATATATAATATTACATCTTTTTCACTTCCGTAGATGATGTAAGTTATTGAAAAATACATCGTCTTTGTTGCACTTTTCTGTGCAAGTAATAAGAACTGTACATAATCTTTGATAGCTTGCCAAGGATATTGATAAATACATGAAGTTAAGTTTAGTTTAAAAATGTAATTCACTATAGATACGACACAGAGTATTTGACTTGGCCACTTCTTCCGGAATTAGTTTTTAGCTGTTGGTTTAAAATTAATATTTTGAAGAAAGAGCTTTTGAGCTTCTCAATTTATTTTTCGTTATTGTTTAACACTTTCTCATGTTGTACGCAAAAAAGTAGGAAAAATTCGTCCCCGTTCTCCTGTGTCTGCTCTATCTCACTGTTATGTATTCATAACCCGTTTGTTGAGGTTACATGATGCATCGCTAAAATTGTTATAAGTAATACAAATTGTTACAAATTAATACAAATTGTTTGAACACTTTTAAAATATTCCAACCTATTATTTTTTTACATAGGCGTCGGAACCGGGTTGGGGGGCCACATTTTTTCCAAATATATACTTTGTATAGACATTGAACATTGCTGCGTAGGTTTAGCTCCACCCCCCCCCCCTCCACTTTCCACAGACAAGTCACAGTAAAGGTTAAAAATGACGAAAGTGATGGTATTTGGAAAAAAAAAATTGGTACTGAAGTTCGAACCCCCCCCCCTTCGAAATAGGATTTTCGTGTTTGTGAAAAGGACACCCCCCCTTTTTTTTTTGCTTGTTATGTTTTTTTTTAAGGTTTAATTTTTTTTTTACACTAAGCCCCCCCCCCCCCCCCCCACTTTCAATTTGCTTTCGACGCCAATGCAAATGTTTTAAGCATGATTTTTTTTTACCAAAGAAGAAAAAATAAGGTGAAGAGGTGACTTTAACGTTTTGGATTCCTGAAAACAACATAACGTAACGCAGTCACCGGTGCTTATTAAGCCCTTTGAACTGAGAATAGAATGACAGTTTACATTAAACATTTAAGAATTATAAATTTTCATTTTAATGATTTTATTTTAACCTTCAACATTAAAGATTTATTTACCCTGTAATAATTATTTCCCCGAAAAAGACTTTACTACCAACATTTTATGATTCACATTTACCTTGGAAAATAATAATCTTGTTTCCTTCTGTTGAATTGTTTATGCATTTCAATTTATGAAAGTTTGCTACCAATTACACGTGATTTAATATATACATGTAACAAATTAAAACAATTTCAATATTTTCCCCTGCAAAAGTCGCATTGTACATACATGCCATCGTCGGAAACCCACGGGTGATCTCGTCTTGTGATAAGTAAAGACGAGATCACCCGTGGGTAAGGACGAGATCACCCGTGGGTTCATGCCTACATGTACATACATGTACATACGTATAAGGGGAGTTCTGTGCAAAATTATCAAAACGTGTTTTAAGGAAAAGGATTTATCGTTACAATTTAAGATTGTACATGTGTGTCTTGTTCTTGTCAAAGTCAAAAAAGAACTTGTCTACTATTAGTTCAGGAAATTTATTACGCGTGAATGCCCCTCCCCGCGACCCACCCCCCCCCCCCCCCCCCCCCCCTTTACGATAATGGTAGAATATGAAGAATGTGTTATCCTTTCTCTTACTTACTGTTGCAATTTTTATCATGCATTTTTTAAACAATACTAAAAAGCAACTAATATTTGATATATGATTAAAATAAATCATAATGTGTGCATGTACTTTCTCAGGAAGGCAACGGTAAAGTTTAGGTTAGACCTTATAGCCCATGTCTAGAAATGAATGTAAATGAAGTTGTGGAATGTGTTGCTTGTGGGATTAATGTATATTCTGGTATTGTGCTTTGTTATTCGGTTAGTACATAATGCATATAAATTGCAGAATTTCTTTTGCAAACCATATTTTTAAAAATATACATATTTTTTATTGGATGGGGTGGGTGTTACATTCTGATTTACTGAAAGTTGTGCAAACTCATTGAGTTACGAAATGATTCTAAACATATTTTTTTTTCAATAATTTAAGCATAAATATAAAATAAGAAACTGAGGGCCAGGAAAAATTAATCAAATGTTTAAAGATTTACAAGAAATAATGGTTTAAACTCTAATTTAAGACTTTAAAATTTGATGCACCTAATCTTAATTGTTTTTTTGATTTGAACACGCATTTATTTAAGGAATAACTGTCTTATTTTTCGATTTCATGATTGATCAATCGATTGGGTTGCGTGATAATTTGCATAAACGCCGAAGGCTTTGATTCCGCCAATCCACGTGCTCCAAGCCCTCCTTCTGTCTAGCTGTTTGTTCCGCCCTGCACGTGGTTTTTTTGAGAACCGATTGCAATACATTGATGGGGAAATAAAGAACATTTACAATTTGTAATTTTATCTCGGACAAAGACATTGGAAATGTAAATATTGAGATATACAAAAGGATTGGAAACAAGTTTGACAACTTACAAGTTCCTCATGTGAATTATAGACCGATTTCATAACATCCAAAGAAGAAAAGGATCGAACTCTACTACAAGAGAAAAATACAATTTATTCCTGGATGCGGAATATCTTATCAATAACCCAGAAAGTCTTCAGAGATGATGCATACTTTTTTCCCGTAGTAAAACATTCGAAACTAAAACATGTAAATACATATAGTAAACGTGGTAAAAGAAATGTGGTATCCTAGACCTTTAGATGAAAAAAAAAAAATTCTGTCGCACTCTTTAAAAACTCAGGTATTCAAAACGTAAACTATGACAAAAAAATTCTTTTTATATACTGTGTATTGTGTAGACTTTTAATGCCCGGGGGAGGGGTGGTAGCGGCTGTCTCGAACTTTTTTAAGATAACTACTTCGATAGTGTAAAAGAGACAATTAAGTGCCTCTGCTTAATTGGGGTTGAACCCGAGGCCTTTGGCTGTTTACCGATAGAGACAGGAAGATGGCAAGGTTTACCACTGTGCGATAGAATATGTACACTTTGTAAAAACAATCAAATTGCAGATGAATTTCATTATATTTTAGAATGTAAAACTTTATCTAATGTGAGAAAGAATTACCTGGGCAATTATTATTCTTCTAGACCGAATGTTATTAAATTCATGGAAATTATGTCAACCTCAAACGAAAAAGTGATGAAAAAACTTTGTATATTTATCCAAAAAATCTATGCTGCTGTCTGTCCTCCTTGATATGTTTCCCCACTCTTTTTTTTCTACCATTAATCTTTTGTTATGTTTTCTATATTGTGTATGTACCTCTGACCAGACTGTTTATATTGTATTATAATGTATATATGTTATTTATGCACAATACCCCATGTACCAATAGATTGGTCTGGGTGAATAAACTGAACTTGAACTTGAACTTGGCTTGCCAGTCCAGTGCTCTACCAAATGAGATTAAGGGTTAACATGCTATCTCGTTGAGGGAGATGAGCAAATATAGTTTGTACTACCACAATAGGATTTTTTTCATCTAAATTTTGCTTATTTCCTTTTACTGTTGTCTGCAATTTTTTTTGCATTAAAAAGGCATAAATTGGAATAGAATAGCTTTTAGAGGAAGATAAAATTTTTGATTTGAGTAACGTTTTGTTCTTTTGCCCTTGTCAATCATTTCGGTGCCCCCCCCCTTTTCATTTTTCAAAGATATAGTTTACAATGTTTATTTTTATCATTACGATTAAAAATCTTAATTATTGATATTTTTAAGGGAATCAAATCAAATGTTTGAAAATATATATCATCAAATCATTATATAGCTTCGCGTTTTTTTACTATTTTACGTTATGAAAAATCATGAAGTTATGCACGCGTACACTGTACGTCAAAGTAAATATTGCGTCTTTGTCGTACGGTATTTTATACATTTATACACAGAAATATGTGCCATGTTATGCATCAAACGAAAGAGAAAGAAAAACTCTACAAGAATCAATAAAAAACTGAAAATGTCAAAATTCTTCCTTAAGGGAGGTTTTTGCTTGGCGCGTCACATATTAAAGAATTATTAGGAAAAGAAGTTTATCGATCAAAGGCCCGTACATCAAGTTCCCATGCTTTAAAACAAACTTCAGGCGCTGGGCCTCCACCAGTCTTCTTCGTCTGACGTTTCCTTTGCGCTTCTTTCTTTTTTACACTTGTCCTAGCGTCTTTCCATTTTTTCTTAATTTCATCAACTTCTCTTTCGCAGCAAGTAACTGAAGCGGAATTGATTCTGTGGAAAGAGTTTTTTTATTTATTTTTTTTTTATATATAAAAATCACGTTTGTTGAAAGGGGTGGGTTGGATGGCACCTAAGCTAGTGACATATATAGTAATTACTTACGAACTGCATGCCGTTTATTCATCACCTCATAAACATATTTTCTAAATTAGGAATTTATCTATTCAGTTTCTCTTAAACAATGCATGGACGTCGGAAGTGGGGGGCTAAACCAACAAAAAAGGTAAATTCCAATTTTCAAAGCCTATTTAAGGTATATTTTGGCGAAAAAGGGGGGGGGGCAGCTAAGCCCCCCGGTTCCGACGCCTATGCAATATTTTACTTGTAACATTCCTGTATTCAAGTACAATTATTTAGTTCTTATTTATACGTCGAAATTCATGAATGTTGTAAAATTGCATATTTTCTTTGATACAAAGGCTTCCTTTTTTTAGGGATATGTTTTTTCTGTTTGTGTTTTTAGTGTTGTTATACAATTTAAATGTTATATGAATACCTCTTTCATTCATATACAGAATGCATGAAATAATTAACCACCCCACCCTCGCGAAAATTTGTGATTTCACAGTATTATGCCTCAAATATTTTCTTGAGAGAAATAGTAAATAAACTCAACATGAACTTACTGTTTTATTATTTTTTCCCATATAGCTTTCTTTTTTACATAAGTTACTGTAGCCGAAAATTTCGCCAACAAGATATGTTGGTTTTCTCTGATGCTAGAAAAAAAATTTGAAGCTCATCGTCCGTCCAGTTTGGCTTTCTTTTTTTTGCTTGAACATGTTGAAGAAGAAGCTGACTTCTCCATTTTGTTTACAGCTCACAGAAAGAGAAGCAGACGTTCAAAAGAAGCGAAACAGAATCCTATAAATTTCAGAAATGTACATTAAATTGGTAAAGAAATTCAAATCAGGCGCGGATCCAGGATTTCAAGTTAATAACGAGGGAAATTATTTTTGCAGGGGCCTTGGACATGTGACCTCTCCAGCTAATCTCATGAAAGACGGAAACCGGGTGTTATTGGTCAGGGTGGAGTCTCATAAGCAATGAAAAAAAATGTCTTCCAGGGGAAAATTGGGGGAAATTTCATATACATTATTATAGGATTAAACGTTCTTTTTTCAGAATTTATCGATGTGTAAACTCTGCCTTTTTGCTCACAAACTGAATAAAAGTGCGAAGCACTTTTATGTAAAGTTTGTGAGTAAAAAGGCAGAGTTTACACATCGATAAATTCTGAAAAAAGAACGTTTAATTTTTATAATTCCAATTACGATTTTTTTAAATTATTAAAATTATTTCCCTTTGAGGCCGCCATACAATCCGTTATTTTGTACGGCGTAGGAATACTTTAATGCCACCGATGCCACAAAGAAACGTGTACAAGATGAATATCGATAAAATCCAACTTAAATTGTCAAAACAATCAATAAATAAATTTATAAAAATTCACTGAATGTTGTTTAAGTCAACAAATATCGTAAATACGCGTATTCTCCAAAATAATTCGTCCTTGACCATGGCCATGTTGACGTCATGACGAAAGTTGAAGACCGACGACGTCCTCGATTTGCTCTGGTTCGTTCAAAGATTTAGGGAGAATATGGGATCTGTAGGATGTAAACATATGAATTTGATGCCAGAATAGCAAGAGTATGAGGTACGTTTCTTTTCCCTATCACAACGATACCAACTGAGCTGATATGGAACGTCGAGAAAATTACAGCATGATCAGCGAGTTTTTAAAATTCACACTCGTGATGCGACAGTGACATAAACATAATATTCCCGTCTGTCAGTCCTGTTTATTTCGTTTTCATTTATTCATTCGATCATTCATTCATTTTTTATTTCAAGTTTTTGTAGCTAAAACGGACTAGAAGTAGGCCTAGGCTATCTGTTTTCATTGTTTTTACAACAGTCAAGAAAGTAGTTCTGATTGAAAGAATTTATCGATGTGTAAAAATTTTCTGGAACGTGTTCTCGTCCAATCAAAACACAGGAAATCAATAGATAAAATGAAGATTGGAATTATTTCAATATAAAACAGTGAAAATATACAAATACGAAACATTACAAATATTTTATTGGCACATACAGTAATGTTAAAGAAAAATATTAATTCCTTTAAAAAAGTTATCTAAAAAAGGAACACACACATACACCCTCACACACAAATACACGAAAGAAATCTTTATTCGTCTTGAAATCTAGTCTAGAGCAGCAAATCCCGTGGTATATTGCATAATGTGAGCCCATGTACAATGTAAAGTCACGTATAGTACAAGATATAGGACTATGCGCATTTTTAATGCATAACCGACATTTTAATGAAAAATAAATTAAAGAAAAACTATGACTTAATCTCTCTCTCTCCTCTCTCTCCATATAATGGTAAGTATTAGAAGTTTGCTGATAATAAAGGATTTATCTCATTATTATGCAGTCTATTATACTTGTTTTTATATCAAAATTTGTTGCAACTTTAATGAACATGTATAATCTGTTTGTCGAAAGATTTTGGTAAATTCGATTCATTTATTGACAACACCATCATACAAATGGCATATAGTCATGAATGCAACAATTTACATACATAAAATAAAAGAGTAATGTTTTACATGAATCCTAATTTAAAGTAGTGGTAATCATTAAAATTAAGCTCTTGACTCAATATGGGTAAATGGCTTGCATTTTTTATACATTGATATTTATGTAAAATAAAAAAGAGCCATAAAAATCTTATTTTGTCTCAAACTTCATATTATTTGAAATAACAAACTATAGCTATGAATTGCTTGTAATAGAAACCTTTAATTTCCGGGGGTGGGGCGGAGGGGGCTGTAATTGATATTCCAGAATAAATAATAATCAAATAATTTCTGATTTATACATGAATGTTTTTTGCTACCTTTCTCTTTATCACACATTTAATATTGAAATTAGAAATGTTGTTCAAGTAAAATTTATTTATACGATAAATGTCACCTTCAAGACCCGTAAAAAGAAAGGCAAGTTTCCTTTTTATCGTTGCAAATTTAATAACAATAATTTAAACATGTTTTATATTGTGTATTCATGTACTATAAACATGTACAAATGGACAATGTTTATATTTTTTGCGCATGTACAATGTCGCGTTGTCAAGGACTTAGTCCAGCGACTAGGCGTATCGTTTACGACTAGACTTATGCTACTTGGTGAAACGCAAATTACGCCCGACTAAACTTTGGCGTAAGCCCCGGAAGTACACCTAAGATAAGGCGTAAATTTACGACTTTTGATGAAACGGGCTCCAGGCTTTTAAATATCATTGACAGCTGCTTTTTAACAAAAATGGAACTCTTAAATTTAGTTACCTTGTTATTGGTCATTTGCAAAGCAAAATTATTTTGTTAAATTACATTCTGACTGCACACACAAGTACTTTAAAGTTGACATCAAAAAGATGCTTGAGTTTCTTATTGACAATATCTATGGGGTTTTTGGAGACCAGGTCTTCCAACAATCTATTGGAATTCCCATGGGTACTAATTGCGCCCTGCTATAAGCAGACCTATTTTTGTATTTATATGAAAAAGAATTTTGCATGACCTTATGCCTGAAAAAACCTTGTTGTGGCCTTCAACTCGACATTTACATATATCGACGACTTACTGTCAATGAAGTTTACTATCATCAACTTGTCTTACTTATGCAGCAATATACCTTAATCACCTGCATACGAAGTTTTTGTATCTCAGTTGATTCGGTATGCAAGAGCATAATCTACATATGAACAATCTTTAAAAGAGGTAAATTATTGACAAGCGAGTTGATGAAAGAAGAAAATCAGCAGTCTCGTTTTAGAACCATCAATTCTATTCTCGAGTTCTATGGTCGATACAATGACCTTGTCAGCAAATACATTTAATCATTGAGTCAAATGCTGACTGACATTTTTCATACTTATTGTTACCCATTATTTATACACTGAATTGACGAAGATTTTTTTTCTGTTATTTTCCCGATCATTACAAGGAACACACAGCGGGTGTGACCGGTTGGCAGGAAATACCCACTCCTCCATTGCACCCGATCCCACCTCTGATGTTTTGGAGGTCAGTGTTTGCTCTGCTCCTATTTTGTATTGTTTTATGGATTTTTGAACTTGAATACTTTTTGTTATCTCCATATGTTTCATAGATATGCCATACTCTGTGTATCTCTAATCTCAAGTTCACCAGGATATATCGTATCGACATAGGAATGAAAATAACCATGTAAATATCGGTTTATTTAAATGTCGAGTTGAAGGCCACAGCAAGTGTTTTCATCTTTTCACTCATAAGATTTTGGACAGATTCTGCTTCATACGAATACATAGAAAGTAGGTATTATAATACTTTTCACGGGGCGCAATTGGTACTCAGCGGAATTCCAATAAGTTGTAAGAAGACCTGGTCTCAAAACCACATACATGTAGATATTGTCAATCAGAAACTTAAGCATCTTTTTATGTCAACGTCAGAGTACTTGTGTGTACAAGCAGAATGTTTTTACACGATAATTTTGCAATAGACCAATGGAGAAGTAAGTAAATTTACCAGTTCCATTTTGTTATCAAAAAGCAGCTGTCACTAATATAAAAAAGGTTATTTAATCACAAAGGAACTTACGACTAAGACAAAAAAAAAGTTGATCGTAGAATTTTGCAAAATTAATTATTGAGTATGAAATTGCTATTATGGCACTATTTTCTATTATGGCACTATTTTTCTATATTCCTTTGCCCCGTGGGGATCCGGGTTAGAATAGGTCCTCAGTATCCCCTTGCTTGTCGTAAAATGGGGCGGTCCTTCGGATGAGACCGTATAAACCGAGGCCCCGTGTCACAGCAGGTCCGGTGTGGCACGATAAAGATCCCTCTCTGCTCAAAGGCCGTTAGTGCCGAGCAAAGGCCTAAATTTGCAGCCCTTCACCGGCAATGGTGACGTCTCCATATCAGTGAAATATTCTGGAGAGGGAC